ACGAATGGTCAGTGTGGTTTGAGAGTTTCTGCATGGTTTGCGAGGAATTCACCCTGTGTCCCAACCATATTTCAACTCTGGTCTTTGAACTAGCGTTTTAAAGATAGATAACTAATAATCAATATCTACTCGAAATAATAATTAATTCTAAACAAAAGTGTAGGGTAGTGCTGTTTCCAAAATATGTAACCCTTGAATATCCTACTCGCAGATTTATTTTCTGTTTTTCAGGTCGTTCTGTGATGATCAATACAATGGCTAGTTTATTGAATATAAATGGTGTCTACAACAACAAAATTCGCAGGCTGATGTCTCATCCACGACAAACTTGAATTGACATCTATTACGCCACAATAATTAAATGAAGAAATGATCCTGTGAAATACCAATACTAATTCCTTTATCCTTGCAGAAGTCAATATCTAAGAATGAAAAAAAAAAAACCTTATAACCTTAGCAACCAACATATTCCTATACCCTGTCTTTCTACCTTAATTAATTATAATTACTCATACTTATAAAGTTACTGATAGATTTAAATACTTATTGCAATCTGGACTATAATTTGGCAATAATAGGCTCTAGTTTGGGCAATGAAGTGGTCTAGCCCACCTCTTCATGCACCCAATTCTGGCAACTTTGGTTGGGCATTTTGGCATTTGACTCCATCTATAATCAGCTTGACAATATATTTTTTTATAAAAGTTTATCTTTACTGTTCACTCCCATTTATAAAATTGATCAATTTGGCAGTGGCAAATCATGATAAATTTATTAATATGGTGTGGCAAGTAATTTTTATTTATTTATTATTAACTACCAGTATGTAATTTTTCATGTTCCCTTTACTAACTTCTATATGGTTGTGTGTGTGGGTGCGTGAAATATTTCAATTATTTTAGGTGAGTGAACACGTACCACATCTTCTTGGCAAAACCTTCCATCTTATATACAATCTGTACGTTTTAAACCTTATCTAAGGTTTTGTTCGCTCTCCTGATTTCATAATCAGTTTTTATTTATTTTTACCATTCATTTTATTGTTTTGCTGATTATGGAGTCGAAATAAACTTATACTTACACTCTTCTTTTTTCCCCTACTGCAATTATGATGCCTGCTTTAGAGTGTCCTGTCCTGGTAGAATCTTTCCTTAGGGGTCGGTCGACCTTGGAAGTCTTGCCCGTCCCCTTCCGTATATATTTTTATGCTTATTGTTGTTCGCTTATGCCTACCGTATTATGTACTTGTATCGGAAATAAATCACTATCTCTTTTCCGATATCTTGGGCCAATGAACGCAGACTTCTGCATGACGTAACAATTGGAGTTGGCAGCTGTAGGTGGATCCCCGTGGTCGGATGAATATCAGATGTACTACTGCTGGCTTTTGCGTTGAGTTGAATCTGAGTAGCCTTTCCATGGTCTTTTTCAGTTATTATCAGTTGGGTTATTCTAGGTAGGTGTTAAAAAGTATAAGTAAGCTATTAAACACATATCCTTACCATAAATAGCAATTTTAATTGAGCACTAGCTCATAAAACGTTGTTAAATAGGTACGGTACGGTAACTGAACCTAGAATAATATGTCATCAACAACGATATTTCTTGCTTGTATGAAAGGTTTATGATTAATTTAATGACGATTCTTGTGATATGTCGAAATTCAGTGTAGATATCGTCCAACATGCAAACACTGCAGGACTGTAGTACATCAGATAAAATGCATTATACCGGTATATGGGAAGTATTAGTCAGTATTTAATGGTGTTTTTACACTCATGCTGTTTCAAATATGATTTTCTTCCTAATTTTAGATACTGTACTACAAAAGAAAACGGCAATGTTCCACCAATCCAACCTAATTCCACCAATCCAGGTTCTAATCCCTGCTGCTATCATAGCTATACCTGTAAGAATAAAATGAATTAAAACAAGAAGTCTTTTGATTGATGGATCTACTGTCCCACTTGTACTACGTGTCCCACTTATACCCCTCGTGTAACACGTGTCCCGTGTCCCACTTATCCGTGACACGTAGGACAAATGGGACACGTGGTACAAGTGGGACACATGGTACACGTTTGGTTCACGAACGACAAAAGTTTGCCGACCCCTGACTTAGAACATCACTGTGACGAGAACTGAACAATCCTTTGCCACCAAAACTTAGGTCTGCGTCGTGGGATACCTGGAAACGTTTAGCAGCCTACCGCGAAATACAAAACCACGTATTACTCAAAACATGTATTACCAGCACTTCGCTGTTTAACATCATTCAACCAAATTCCGTTGCCTTTCGTCTCCAGCACAGAACTAATATCAACTTACATCGGAGTGCGCAGGCAAAAACTTATCGATACGGAATTGATAGATACAGAAACTGTATCGATATCGATACAGAACCACGTAACTAACCCCATGCATTTAGGATAGGATAGGATTTACATATTTATCCCAGGGGAGAGGAAAGCCGATAAGACGGCTTATCCATATGGCGAACCACGGCCTCTCGTCCGGTTACCATTCCAAGTCGGGTATGGGATTAGTTTTTTACTGTATTGTTTGTTTTCGGAAGCATGGACTTGGTGGTGGAGGAAGCCGTAACCGACCAGCGGTTACGTGAACCACCCAACGACGGCGAGGAGTCCAGCAATCCTCTCGCACATAACCACCCCTGCATGGGATTCGAACCTGCGAACCCACGCAGAGTAATTAGAGGTGCGGTGGCGAGCGTATTCCTAACGCTTAGCCCGTTGAGCCACACCGCCGCTACCTAACGTTACCAAATCAATTTTTGCTTTGTTTCCCCGTCAGCTTTTTTGGTCATGTAATTGCGATGGAAATCTGACCGTGCGCGAGCTATGTGGCTGATGACGTCGCCGGTCGACGTAAGGGGTCTGACCAAGTGTGCAGTTGGCCATGTACTAAGACTAGATGTCTGCCGCCGGTGCAATCTTGTCTGTGACCGTTTTTTTACCCTTGTTGTGAAATTTTTGCAAGTCCCATTTTGGCGCTCGGGGGCATATGTACCCCATTGCCCCCCCCCCAAGCTACGCCTCTGTAGCTGCCAAAAACGAATATCGGCTAGAGCAGTGGTTCCAAACTAGGGTCCGCGGACCTTTTGGGGTCCGTGAAGCACTTTCGGAGGGTCCGCGAAACAAATCTGCAATACGACAAATAGATTGACAATACAAAACTTACGTGCTTTAATTTGCAAATACACATTTGTTGCCTTTTGCTGCTTTGCAATCACCGCTGGAGACACCGAGTCTTCACCTTTTTTCTGTTTTGATCACACTGCCCCATTGTGATGACACAGAGCTATGGGCCTGTGATATTCCAGTGAAGGTTCAATCATACATTTACGGTTCAATTCATGCCGCCACAGGTTTATTAACTGCAGAGCTGTAGCTGGCGCTGCCCTTTCGCACGTTTACCAAATATCGAAACAGATTGGATGTCGTGAGTATTGCGCTTTATATTCTTCTCACTATACGGCACATTTTTTTGTTACTTGTGATCTTTTATGGTACTGTATTGTTTTTTGTGCATAAGGCCGGGAATCATTAATAAAATTGCAAGGGGTCCGTCATGGAATTTTTCGAACCACTGGGCTACAGCGAGAATGCAGTCGCATTCATAGCGAGAGAACAGTTATTACAAAACAAGAGGGCTTTGAAATATATAAACACGTAGCGCCACCTAGTGGCAAATCCGGATGACGTCATAACACTCCAAAAAACAAATCCCATGCAGCTCATCGAAATAAATAAAAGTAATAGCCTTCTAGGGAAAAATTCCATCTTTAACCCCCTGAAAATTTCAAAGCCAATGGTCCAGAAATCAATGAGAAAAGTGTTTTTTTCATAACGACACCAATGAGAATTCAAATAAGATAAAGAAGAGTGCCAGCATAAAATGCAAAACGTTCGTTATGTCCACTTACGTGACTAAAAAAAATTATAACAATAATATTGTAATGCATCGTCTCTGGCGTATAGTAAAGAAACAAAGACTTACCGTCAGATCGTGGTAAAAAAATAGGTTAGGTATTCATATTTTAACTACAACCATGGATTTTTGTTAACATGTAAGCTGTATTGATTGAGTATTTGTGACCCAAAATCTTCTTTTCCTTAAATAAATATAGTCTAATTATGTTCACAACCTGATTATAGAATCGGGAGAGCAAACAAAGCCTTACCGGTACGGTACAGATTGTAGATTGACGTGGCGGTGTAGCGCATCGTGGTAAGAGTTACAGCGTTAGGAATACTCTCGCACCGCTCCTCTGTTATGGATTTTTCCATCATCAAGTCCATGTAGTCTATCTGAAAACAAATAACTGACTAACTAATCCCCTGGGATAAATATGTAAATCCTATCCTAATCCAATACCCGCCATATGATTAAGCCGCCTTACGACTTTCGTCTCCCCCTATCCTATTCTAAATTTAGATTGAAAGGTGTTGTTAATAGATGTACCGTAGTATGTGTTCGCTCACCCAAAAGTAGCAAATTATTTAAAGCAAGCACACACAATCACTGAGACATGGTAGGATCATGGCGCGGCGGTGTGGCTCATCGTGCTGAGCGTTAGGAATACGCTTGCCACCGCACCTGTAATTTAATTACTCTGCGTGGGTTCGCAGGTTCAAATCCCATGCGGGATGGGTATGGAGGATTGCTGGACTCTTCGCTGTCGTAGGGTGGTTCACGTAACCGCTGGTCGGTTACGACTTCCTCCACCATCAAGTCAATGCTTCCGAAAAACAAGTAACTAACTAATCCCATACCCGACATGGAATGGTAACCGGACGAGAGGCCGTGGTTTGCCATATGGATAAGCTGTCTTATTGGCTTTCCACTCCCTCGGGATAAATATGTAAATCCTATCCTATCACTGTATCAGAAGAAAACAAAAGAGCCAACTCAAGGTCCGAATTATATCTATTTCTATCAATTGTGTTTCTCGATTCTAATCAGCTCCCTTGGCACTGGTCCTTCGCTTAATCGCTCGTTCTGATTATCTGGTACCTGCCATTTTATTTTAAAAGGAAACAGCAATTAGTGAACTTGCCCCTATAATTTCTGACCCATCCAATAAAAAAGGTTCGCCATCCCCAAATGACGTAAGCCTTGTTAAATACTGTTTTCCTCCTGTTATGACAGGTGCTGAGGGAAATTGAGGGTTATATTTTGAAATGAAGTTGGTGATTTCCTATTATTTAGTGTTTTTTTTATGTTGATCATGGAAGATTCTAAGACGAGTTTGACGGGATTTGTCGCATGTGTTGGCCTCGTGTGTGTCGATATAGTGAATACTTGTTCGAAATTTCCTTCAGAAGATAGTGATCAGAGGTCTGAAAATTTATGATTTGTGGGTTCTCAAAATTCCTAATCCCATACCTGACCTGGACTGGACTGATAACAGGACGAGACATTCGTCATTTGCTTGAGCCGTCTTATCAACTTTCCTCTCCTCCGGGATAAATATGTGAATCCTATCCTTGAATTTTCATTTCCATCTTTCAATTAACTGTTGGCCTGTAATAAATTTTTTAACCTTCTTGTTGAACAGATCACTGTCGCTCTATTGGCAAAGAGGAGGTAATGCAGCCAATACTTGTACTGTACTTTCCATTCTTGGGTCCAAAACAAAATTTATTGGAAGTGCACCAACTATGAATAGTGATGATTTGCCTTGGGGTCTTGATGCCTCTAGGTAAATGCTCCACTTCTACTTTTCTATTGCATGTTACATTCGTTCATTTTTGTATTTATCATTTTGTAAAAGGTCAAGAGAGGTTTTAGATATAAATATTTCTATATATGGCAACTTTGATTTAAAATTATGTATGCGAGGCAGTGCCTTTTTTATGTGTAGAAAGTTTTGGGATTTGTTCACAGTCATAAAATGGCGTGAATTTTTCGTACACAATATTGAAAATGTATATTCTTATAAGTCAATTAACAACTGTTGAAATTATTGAAATCAGAATTTTTGTTTTTCAGATTTGCTTTGCAGGGGTTGGAAAAATATGGTGTTGATATTAGTGATGTTCATCACTGGGATTGCGTAGATTTTCCAACTTCTTCTGTTATTGTGAATAAACAAAATGGTTCAAGGACAATAATGCATTTTAGAGGGTACATACTTCTGTACTTTTTGCAATAATTGATGCCCAATGTATTTGTATTTTCCAAGAACAAATCTTCTAGAAAACATCATACAATATTACTTTACATGAGGCACACAATTTTTTCAAATTTTTCATTAGAATGTGTCTGATCCGTTTGTTATCTTTATGTTTGGCAGAGTAACATTGGTTTTATGTTTTAGCATTATATAATTTTACAGAGATCTTCCAGAATTAAATGTTGAAGCTTTCCAAAATTTGGATCTGGGAGATCATGCATGGTTTCACTTTGAGGTTTGTATTGCTTTCATTCTCATATTTATATGGGTGGGACATTTCATGTATCTAGTTTCCAGCAAAATTTAGGCTTTCTTCAATAATCATGAAACAAGGATGGGGAAATCAGATTGCAAAGACTTGGTTTTATGCATATCCAATTTTGTATCATAGCTGCTTATAATTCATAGGGCTGGCTTCTTGCTCTTATTTCAAAATAACAAAATTTAGCCAGACAACTGATGGCATCCGCACACCAAGTTCTGATTTATCTGCAAATTTCACCGCTTCTTTCAAAAAATTTCAAATCAGTCGAGTTCAGGCAAATACTCAAATTTTATATAAAGATGAGTCATAGTTGCTCGCCAAATAATTTTTTCAACCTATCACCACAATTCTGTCAAATACTAAATGAAAATGTATTACTTTTTACTGTTCGTCTGTTGGATTCACATGTCTCAATGTGAAAATCTGCATGTTATACAAATGTGCAACAATGTTTGATATTTTTTCACTTATATTAATGGTGAGATCATTCCATTCACAGGGTCGACCCAACATTGATGTCATTATTTCTGCCATGAATATGATTGTTGATTACAATGAAAGCAGATCTGAAACTGAGAAAATTAGTATGTCTGTTGAATTAGAAAAACCCCACGTGACTAATTTGTTTAGCATCGCAAAGCTGGCTGATTTGGTATGTGCGTGTAAATGCATTAGAGATGCATTCTTCCAATTTTAAATCAGAAAAGAGACAAACTGTTACAAGAGCTGAAACTATCCTGCAAATTTGTATTGGACCAGTTATAATGATATAGGCTACTGTAGACTCATAATAATTATTTGTACAAGGTTATTTTGAATGATATGAAGAGAATAGCTAATTATTTTATGTGACTCTCCCAATTTAATAATTCTTGGTAAGTTAACAAACTACATCTTTTCTACAGGTTTTTGTTAGTACTGATTATGCTAAATTCTTGGGTTACACCTCCGCCATAGAATGTGTTGAAGGAATAAAGAATATGGTTTCAAACAGGTAAGTGTTGAATGTATTTTTTTTTGCTTATTTATACACTGTGAGAGTGTGCTACTAAGAACGGTCAACACTTTTATGCATGCCAATATTGGAATATGGAATATAAATAGAATATATACATATATATAGGATCTCAAAAAACAGGGCTGTTGTAAGCCTGCTGATTATACTAAACAGTAGTTCAAAATGCAGATGTTGGTTACATTCTTCACATCTTTGTGTCTATCTCATTCCACTTTTTTAGCCTACCAGTATTTCATGATATTTTAACAATGTAGATTTTTACACATAAAATTGGGGGAGGAAAGTGTATACTCTATTGATCTCCATTCTTCAACATGTCTTAATCATTATTCTTGCTATTTCAGGGCAGAAATTGTGTGTACATGGGGAAGTTCTGGTGCAGCATTTGGAATAAATACAGTTGGGGATGTTTCTACTATGGTACCTGCCATTCCACCCGATAGAGTTGTTGACACAATCGGAGCTGGTGATTCTTTTATTGCAGGAGTGATCCATGCAAGATCACAAGGGCATCCCTTGGATAAGAGTGTTCAATTTGGATGCAGAGTAGCGGAAAAGAAAATATCAAATTGTGGTTTTGATCATATGAAGGGATTCAAACCTCCCATTTGAAAACAATTAGCGATTATTGTTTGTGAAAAAGATTTTAGGCCAGAAACTCAGCAGAAAGGCGTAGTAGCTTTTGATATTCCATACGGTACCATTCACATAGAGGTATCTCTCACATAGAAATCACAATTGCAACAGCAACAAAATACTTTAATTTCAGGGGTTTCTGGTGTTTACTCGCACAGATTACAAAAACCCAAGACCTCTTGAAGTATGTGTACCAGGTTAGGGTTCAGGTTGTGCGCCATCTTTTTGCACATACTTCGAGAGCGCCAAAACCCAAAGTAACCAGATGATGCAGGTGGCTGGTGATCACATTGTTGATAAATAGGATAGAAATTTCGTATTTGTCCAGAAGCAAAGATGACTTAGTCATACCACAAGCCATGATGTCTTGTTCGTTTGTCTTTCGATGACGGATATGGGAATACTGAACCAATTATTCGCTTTACATGAGTGCGCTTGATGTTGAAGGAAACCATAACTGGCCAATGGTTTTTGCTGAAGTGCTGGTTGTTTTTATATGTCATGTACTGGTATGTATGTTCTCAAATTTCTAACCAATGCTTCTGGCACTAATTGCTGTTCTATGCCGTATGTTTTATTGTCCTCTAATTTTAAAATGTCATTTTTGTGGCTTAATTTGTCAGTTTGCGTCATGATTACTATTGCTACTACTTCAATTACTATGAAATATATTAATTAATGCAAATCCTAAATTATAGATAATATTTAACGATTTCGGGCCCATCTTTTAGTTATTGTCACTTATATAACCCTATTGAAAATCGCGCAATGACATCAACAGTGCGTTGTTCTTTTAGAACATGCTATAGATCAGGCATGCACAACTCAAAAAAAAGAGGGCCACAACAACCAAAAATAATTGTTCACAGGCCATACACGCCATTGGTTCGGAATCTTGCGTATAAACAATGCAAGATCTGGACAAATCGACGTGAGATCAAAACTTTTCTCCACTCAATTGAGAATAATTATCGGAGTTGACAATTTTAAATATTTCGTTATACGTTTAGAGAGTACAGATCGCTGCTTGTTTCTCTTAATGTTTAATACGAAAAAAGGTTTGCTTGCATGCATACAAGCGCCAAGTTGAACATTTGCATGCTGATACCATTACATGGGTTTTTTGAAGTTTTCGTTCTGTATTGTGGAACTAACACCACTTTTTGCTGTGCAGGCCGAAGTATTCGTCAAATTCCAAATGCAAATAATTATTTATTTGTCTATTTTATTGGTGTCGTTTTCAATCTTTATTTTGACATTGCGTTTTTGCACAAATGGTGAAACCAAACGCTTTAACTGGAGACTTAGAGAAGCGCGGTATCGGCACGCACGTAGTGCTAGGGAAAAATTACGATGATGCCCTGCTAAGGGTTTGGTTCAGTGCTACTAATTATTTTCAGGTTAATGGGCCTGGCCTGTAGAGCGCAACAGCGTCCTCATTCCACCTGCTGTGGATAGTTAACAAAGTTTGGTGATCGAATGTTGTTTGTAAACTTGGTCATCAGTTGTAGCTTCATCAAAAGTGACTTCGTGATAACAAGTGTGACAATAGCCCAGGTCGTACCTTTATGTTTCAAAGAAAAAAATGGCGAAATTCATTAATTGTTAGTAACCGATTAAGTCCCCATTCGAAACTGGAATTCATTTGTTTCGTGTACACGAGTACTAATAAAAAGTGTAATGTTGTATGAATAAACTACCAATGCTATGATAATTTATTTTACCTTTTGATGTTCATATTCAAAACTTCGTAGTGAATAGGGTAAATTTCTATTTTTATGGCGTCAACGTCTACACACCCACTTTGAAGAAAACATTCAGTTGAGAAGTGAACCTTAGTAAAACTGACTAGCGTCAAACCGAAACCCTGTCAATTCTTATACCAACGTATGTATATCGCAATTTACCTGGGACCGACCCGTAAACGTGTTACGTGTATGAGGCTCGAGTGTCGAGAAAATGTTTTTGAAAAGGATTCAGGGCAAGGACGCCAACGGTGCACTATACCGCCAGGGTTCCCTAATTTGGGTTCCGATTTTCAGATTATTGCCACGGGAGAGTATAGTCGCGCAACCAAATTTTACCACTTGGAAAAGCAGTTTAAACTTCATGTGCGTTTTTTTGTAAGTTGCGCAAAGTCAACCTATATATATATGTAGGGTTACCATATTTTTGTGACTTCAAAGCGGGACGCAAAAAGGCAAATGACCCATTGGCTGTGATTTTGTAACTTTGCATTTTCCGATTTTACTACATAGGCCTACATTCAAAGCCATCCCGGCTCTCTTCATTGGCCATAGTGTCATCGAGAGTTCATGCGCATATTCTCTGTCCACACATCAGGTTCAGTTCGAAAAATAGAAAAGACTTGCCGTTAACGATACAAATATATCTTCCTAATTCAGATTTCTCATGTACAGCAAAAGGAATGAAAAAATAATAAAATAGCCTGTCGTTTTCAAGCATTGGGATTTTCCTCTACGACCAAGCATGCTTTTCTGTAGATAACTAACACCTTCTTCAAAAAAACGTTTTTCAATGTCACATTCACGTAAACCTCAGAACAGGACCAATTAGTATTGATTTTACATGTTAATACGTTTGCTAACAATGTTAGCGGGAAACAACGAAACAAACAAAATAAAGTAAATAGGCTAGCCTGCGCTACACAGCGACAACAATAACATATTAATTTGGAATATGCTGAATGGCTGAACGCAAAAGCGGGACTTTTGGCTGACTTGTCGGGAGGGCGGGACAAGACGCTAAAAAGCGGGACGTATGGTAAGCCTATATATATGTCTAAATTTGACTCTACCATCAATTAAGCAGTGTAAAAACAAATAATGACCTGATTGGTTAAAATAAAACACTTTGATTGGACACGAATCCAGTATTATACACAAATTGCAAATGAATATAATGAACACCAGTGGCGGCGCGTCAATAGGGCCAACCGGGGCAATGCCCCGGTTGTTTTTTCGGTATAATAAAAAATATTCGAAAAATACCTCAATATCGGTTGCACAGACTGTCTACACTAGCCATATTCTCCCGACATGGTTCATTTTTCGCTCGCAAAGCCTTCGCCGAACGTCGACGGGGCGACGCCGATTTTGCCCCGGTTGCTCATTGTATATCGTATTCTCTCTTTTATCTTCCACTCGCCGCGTTTGTCTCGTTTGTTTTCTGTTTCTTTTACTAAATCATCGGGGCTAGCCCCGAAATTATGACGACACAATGCCGACGTTTTTTACAACAACGTGTTGACATATTCACGCATTCCTTCTCGTTCGTTGGTTGCTTGAAGAGTTGATAGTTTCCTCGCCTTCGTTTTTGTCGCTTGTTTCGCTATTTGAATCAGTTAGAGACCTTTAGTCCATTTGCTTTCGATTTTCCACATTCCTTTTGAGCTCCTCACTTCTTTCCGGCTTCGCATTTCTTAGCCTTAGACCTCATAATGAATAAGGTTGATGCACTACTTCGCACTCCGTTTTCGCAGCTGCCGCTGGAACAAAAATTAGAGGTACAACGTCTTGGGCCTTACCAACCAAAAAATTGTTCACTGGAACAATCCCATGACGGAGGAAAGCGTCGGCGTACATTCTGCGCAGAAACTTGGTATAAAAAACACGAATGGTTGTGTTACAGCGAGGACAAAAATGCACTTTTTTGTTTTTATTGCCTACTTTTTGCTACCGCCCGTGACTCACGTTGGTGTAAATTTGGTTTTAGAGATCTTAAACATCTTTCCGAGCGTGCCAGGGATCATCAATCTTCTATGGAGCATCTGGACAATGCAGTAAAATACCGAACATTCGGAAATGTTAATATTGCAGCACAGTTGGATGAAGGACGCGCGGTTTCTATTCGCCGGCACAACCAAAACGTCGAGAAAAACCGCCATGTTCTCGGTCGATTGATAGATGTTTTGAAGTTCATTGGTTGTCACGAGCTGTCCCTCCGTGGGCACGATGAACGGGCTGGCTTGATCATCTTGATGCCGCAACTGTTTCGAAAGGGACATCTAAGGATATCCAAAATGATTTGCTCGACTCAATGTATAAAATTTATTTACAACATTTGGCTCTGGAAATTGAGAATTGCCAGTTCCTTTCGATTCAGTCTGACGAGACAACTGACATCACATGCGTTTCCCAACTGGCTGTGATTTTTCGGTTTGTGAGAGATGGTAAACCTACCGAGAGATTTCACAGCTTTGTACCAATCGTTGATCGCACGGCTTGCGGGATATCGGCTGTACTGAAAGAAGTGTTACAGCCTTACAACGCGAAGTCAAAATTGATAGCTTAAACTTATGACGGCGCGGCAGTCATGAGTGGGTCGAAACATGGTGTTCAAGTTTATATAAAAGAAGATTTTCCTCATGCGCATTTTTTACATTGTTATGCACACCAATTTAACCTCGTTATTAAAAATATGTGTCTTGATACCCCTCTCGTCCGTATATTTTTTGCAAATGTTTGGGGTTTTCTTCATTTTTTTCCGTTTCGCCGAAGCGCTTTGACCTCCTTCGCCAGATATGTAGCCGCCGTCTCCCAGCTTGTGCACCAACACGTTGGAACTTCCATTCACGCGTGGTGCAGGGCGTGTCCGAAATTAGGTCTGAGCTCATTGAGTGTTTCAATGGCATTCAGAGCTCTCCGGTTTGGGACGAACGCTCTGTGAGGGAGGCGGCAGGTCTAAAGCGTCTGCTAGAAGGTGGTGAGTTTTCATTTTTTCTCCACAATATTCTATCACGTGGATGTATTATACGGCGCATTGCAGTCAAGGCTAATGGATGGAGCGTCTGTGCAGTCGTGTATTTCAGACTTCTGCGATGCTGTATCTCGTATCCGGGAAACAATAAAATACGACGACACATGGAGTGCTTCTTTACGCCGCGGGCAAACAACGCAGCGTTTGATTTTGTCTGCAAAGGAATGCTGTGACATTCTGGTGAATCAAATAGGCGATCGTCTGCGCACTGAACACCTTGCCGCGTTCTCTTTGATGAACCCCAAAAATGTTTCAAAATTTGCACGTCAATTTCCCATCCATTTGTTGGCTACTGTCTCCAAATTTTACCCCATGATAAACGTGGGTAAATTGGAAAATGAATTGCGATGTATATACACCAATCAAAATTTTTTGAACATCACATCAACTTGCGCGCTCTATGGGTTCCTCATAGATAACACTCTAGTAACTAACTACCTTTGCGGCGTCTGCAAAATTTCTGGACATCATTTTGACGACGCCTATTTCTTCCGCCGACGCAGAGCGAACATTCAGCGCGTTATTGAGCATTTTGCTTCCAAGAAACCGCGGCGTGTTGCATATATGTTCAAGCAGTAGAAGTCTAGCAGCATATATATCTATGAGTGAGCGACGCATGTCCTTATCTTTGCATAACTTTCCTTTCTTCATAGTAACGTTTTAAACCTTATTTTAGGTTTTGTCTGCTTTCCCGAAGTTTCTGTTAATATGTCATTGTATTTATCTGGGTAAATATTGCCTTTCCTTTTGAAAGAGGTTTCAAAATAAACTATGTCTATATTTATTAATCCCTTGACTTGGACCGGTTTTAAAGACACTTTCTTATCGTTAAAAATTGTCGCTTTTGCCGATTGGTTGTTACCGATGGAAGGTTTTTATACTCATAAAATGATGGGAGAACTTACAGCGCTCATCCTGTCCCCGTAGATGGGGGTGACTTGGTCCCGCAGTAGCTTGCCCCGGTTGTCAAAATGACCACGCGCCGCCACTGATGAACACCCTACCCAAGTGGCACAAAAATGTTCTTGCGACAATATGCGACCAAAATCTAGGTGCGACGAAAGTTAACATTAATATCTTGGGAAGCAATAACACCGATCTATGTTTTTGAAGTCAACTACATTTTTCGAAACAGAAAACTTCATACGCGAACTGAAGCCTAAGTCAAGTTTTGGAATCGATGGTATTCCATTCACGCAACACCACTTTTATGGCTGAAATGTTTTGGTATATAAACTAACCAAGGCGTTTGAAGGCAAGCAACATGTTATTGGTATATATATATTTGAAAAATTTAGACACCAAGATCTATTTGCATTTGCAAACCAAGATCATATCTGAATGTTGTTTAACAAATTATCTCCTAATGGTGGGATAACATGTGTGACGACCCTTGTTTTGCCTGTTAAATGACGTCATGTGATATCGTTTCAATATTTGGTATCCTAT